GAGATGCTTTAAAGGAGCTGGATATTTTCAGATTGCATATTCAGCATGAAAGCTCTTCAAATGCAGCAAATGATGTTTAGTGTGCTGGCCAAATTAAGAAACAACAACAACACAACACCAACAAAACTCAAACCCTGTAATTTAGATGATGGCCAAAACTTCACACCAAACTCAGCACGGATGAGCACTGCTGACACACAGCTCCAGTTTGATGACACACATCAGACTGAAATGTCTGACCAAGAAAAGTCCCTTCTTGGACAAAAAAAATTATGTATTCAACAAACTCTGAAAACAAGGGCACCAAAGTGACAGCTGCTTCTGAAAAGCATGGCCCACAGGACTATGTGTTGCATGCATACATAGAATTGCAGTTGGAAGCCTCAAGCTGTTTCTACTTCCTTCTGTTCCATAAAATAGCCATAGAATCATAGCATGGTTTGGGGGGCAGGGACCCACATCTAGCAGATCACAGCATGGAATAGTAGTTTACAGAGAAATGGGAGAAATGGACCTTCTCCCTTCCAAACCTGGAATCCCATGATGTGAACCTCCCCAGCTGACCCATCTGCAGGACAGTGAGCAAGGTAGGCATCGTGGTGGCAGCAGTCAGCAGTACAGAGACAAAGCAAGCTCCCCATCAGCACATGGAGCAGGATCCAAGTGAGTCAATCAGGGATTAGATTGAGATAGCTTGCACAAGTTCCAAGGAGCTTTTTTTTTTTTTCTGATGTGCTGGAGCACAGGAAAGAGAACTTCACATGCAGACAAAAGGACCATGTCAGTAGGTGGCCAGCAGCAGGTGGCTGTCACTGCCAGCTGTCACACTGCTCAGGCAGCTTGCTGTTATCTCCAGAGTACAGCATCCACAGAAGGACAAATGAAGGAAGAAGTGGGTGGCATCCATTCCCCCAGCTTCCCATCCCAAACTTTTCTTCTTGAGCAGGTCACCACACCTGCTGGGCTGTGACACACTGCTAGCTTCAGCAAATCAGGTGCAATGAGTTCTCCACCTAAGCACACAATCAAGATAACTCCTCAACCTCTTGCTGCTGCTGACAGTTCCTTTAATGCCGCTCTATTTGCAGACATCTTTGAGAAGGTGATTCAGCTTTTCCTTTCTTGGGCATTCTCATCATGTCGTGCGCCTGCTGGGCTGTCTTCAGCTCTCATGAGCACGACCAGGTTTTTCTTTCCTCCTTCTGACAGCAGTAAGGGAGATGCTGAATGCAAAGTAGTCTCCTCTGAGAATTCCCTCGCTAGGGCCTTCTGATGATGGGCCAGAGATGTGTTACCTGTAGGACTTGATTAACTTGTTAACAGAGATGTCTTCTTACAGCAAAGCCTCGTAGAAGCAATATGCACTCAGAGCCAGGAAGAGAGTCACGAATCCGAGAGCTGCATCCAGATAGTAATTTCAAGAGGATCTTCTAAAGAAGCCCCTTGGAAAATGCAGATATTTCTGGAATGCGCCGTATTAAGAGGAAGCCACGGAAAGAGAAAATCAGCCCTCACCAGAAGTATCCTACACCTTCCGGTTGCCAAACAAATATTCTCCTGTGTTGGACAAATGTTTCCTTAAAACTTGCTCTCAAAATTCTGTCCTTGCTCCTCCATCTTGGAAGGAGGCACAGAGGAAGTCTGTTCCCTTGATCTCTCCTTGCTTCCACCCCACTGATGGTTATTGCTCCTTCAGCTTTGCCTCCCAATGTAAAGTGCTATTATAGGTGTTTGCTCTTCAGCAGGTCAGACCTGAAGTCATCTACACAACGGTTCTATGATTTACAAAGCAGCCTAAATCATCTTTATTCTTCCCAAACTGTGCAGCCCAGCAACCATCCAACGCCCTCGTGTTGTATATATAATGGGGAATCTGCATTCAGGCCTGGCTGCACTAGGCTGATGGCTATGAACATGGCAGCCTTTTGGTTCTTCCACTGAGGCTGTCACTAATTCAAATTAAATTGGACTTTGGTTAGGTGAGTAATTCATCATTTGCAGTGTGACAATACCTGTAATTACTGCTCTTACTGTTACGGCTGAAACTCATATGCAGTAAAGGGATCTTAATATCATGCCAAACCTCACAGTTAATTTAGGTTCTATCTCCTTTCATTTATTCTCTAATAAGCTAATTAGTTCATATAATTTGCCATTGAACGTGCCTTTGTAACAAATATATACATGAATTAGCCTATTACACAACAAATGAGGGGAATCAAAACATGAATCATTTTCAGGATTACATAAGGAATTATTATCCTTGCAAACACCCATGGATGCAGCTACTGTCCTTATTACTTTCGGATTTTGTCTGGACTGGGTTGGCTCTCCTGTTTGATACTTCTCACTTTTCTGCTGAGGTCAGCAATGTGTTTCACTGTTTGGTGTGCCCCACTATATGTCCCATCTGTATGCTGGGTTATCTGCAAGTTTAGGACAACTACCATGAAGCTAAATGTCTTTCAGCTTAGCTGCTAAAATCCAAACTCTGGCAACTGAGAAAGCACAGCCACGCTGCTAGCTTTGTGCACTGGCATCCCATCCACAAGGAGCAGAGAAATCCAGATTCCCCTGTCAAAGTCTGCTTGTGGTTTTGTTTGTTTGCAGACTGCACAGTATCAGACTGCCCTTGAAAACTCATGGGCACAACGTGCAGTCAATGTACTCAGAAGATTCCTTCCCTATTTCACCTGTGGGGCTCATTTCACCAATCTGCCTTCTGACAGCTCTTAAACCGTGCCAGATTTCAAACTCATTTGGGATAAATCATGAGGGATGCTTTACCCAGCTGAGTCTTAAGACTGCCATTATGCAAACGGGAGGCTCGCCAGCCCTTGAGGTTCAGTCCTCTGTCATAACCCTTGCAAAGTACCACCTATTCATTATTCCCCAGAAGGGCTCAGGACAATTGGATCTGTCTCATTCAGAGCACAGCAGAGTGCTTTCTGTCCAGTAATTCAATACCAGCTCACAGGGAAGCTCCCAGGCTACGAAAGCCGTCAGTTCTACTTTCTGCACTCCTTCCTCTGAGGCCTCATCTAACTGCTGACCTGGTGCTGCCCAGCCTCAATATTAAACGTAATGAGAGCACAACTCAACAGCTTTACTTCTTAAATGTTCCCTGCTTATAGCAATTGTTTTGATTTAGCATCCAACCTCTTGCAGTAATGATTTAGTCTTTCCACACCCAAGCTAAGCAACCACCTTACTCCCAACAGCTGCTACTTTACCTGGAGTTATATTGTTTTCATTTTCTATTCTGAAAACTCAGAGAGGACAAGGGAATAAAGACGTAAGAGCCTTGTTTGTCTGGAAACACTCTTTAGCATTTGGATGGCCTAAGTGGCATTAAATTCATCCATAAACCTGCTGGCATGGATTAAAGTGATCTATAGCTACAAGATCCAACTTTGCCAGACCCTTTGCTCTTTTCAAAGATACGAGCTGAAATCTTTGCAGGTTAAACCTGCACATCTGCAGGCCATGCATGCTGGAGAAACGGAATACCAACATGAAATGAAGGCTTGCTGCCTGCAAATCTGCTCGGGAAGTACAAAGGAAAAGAAGCTCTGGAGAAGCACCTGCTCAATTTCAGTGCACTTGCACATGCAGTCTGCAACACATTGGCCTCTGCCTTTTCTCTAGAAAAGACACTGCTGTCCCGTGGTGGGAGCCAGAGAGGACCTCCTGGACACATCCATCACCTGTGTGAGAGCAGGAGAAGGAGGAAGCAAGTGCAGCCAGAGACCCACCTAAGACTCATGCTTTGATTTCCCTCTTCCCTTCATGCAGCACTCACTACCAATCGGGATTCTCCTGTGACATATTAATTCCAGGAGAGAACCCAAGCATTTTTAAAAACAGCTCAACAGAGGCATAAGGTCTGTCTCAGCCCTTCTGGGTTTGGTTTTGAGCCCCTGACACCAGCAACGGTGCAATTTGAGGTGTGCTGCTGTGAGAGCAAACAAGATGCTCAGAGCAAGCAAACGCCTCTTCACAGCTCTCAGATAAAATGACAAGTTATTATGTTCATATTATAATATGAAACCAGAAGGAAATTCAGAAGTGGAATTTAGAGAGGCGAATGAGCAATTACTTGTCATTAAGAAAACTGAAAGGAGGTTGTCTCTCTTTTAGGAATAGACGTCACCTGCTCTTCAGGAAGACCAAATAAAATAGGACGTGCAGCTGAAAGCACAAAGAAATCGGCATCAAAAACAAACTGCAAAATAAAGACTGAAAACCACGCACACCTCATTTCAAATCCACCAGCCCTACGAGACCACAGCCTCGGGACTGTGCAGATGAGCTCTGCAGAGTTCCAGACCTACAAATGCACTGAAAATGCTCTGGTTACTGGAGTATGCCTTATCATTTGCCACCCGTGAAGTCTTCCCCAGCCTGAGTCAGAAGCACCGTGGTCTCCATTGCAGAGCTGTACAAGAGTGGATCAAGTCAGACTCCAGCCCCAAGTGATCAGATGTCTCTTCCCATTAGCCAGAATAGTCTGTTGGGGTTATTTACTCCTCCCCACCATGCTAACCAGTATGACCTTGTAACTCTTGATTCAGACCCAAATTTTACCATCATGCTAGCTGCTACATTTCAGAACAATATTAAATCTTGCTTAACGGTGTGGACATTTTTCTCCATTTCCTGATACTGCAGCAATAAAGAAGGACTCCAACTCTCAAAGAGATTTCCTTCTTAGGATTTATCCAGGTCTAATCTGCAGGGCCAAAACTTGCCAGATTTTTGTCTGCCTGAAGCATTTCCGCCCTCTTCCAGAACACTGAAAAGTGGCCATTCCCTCATTCTCTCCGAGTGCTCTGCTGGAGCACTGGTGCACAACGTCTGAGTCATTTACTCTACCTGTCTTTATGTGCAGCTTCATGCAGGTGGCAAGCAAATTCCTTTCTCCACTGAGGTACTGATCAAAATCCTCCCAAGCAAAGGATGAGAAAACAAAGAAACAGGAAGCCTTTAGAGAATCATACCTGAAATATAGCTATCCAGGCATAGCCAATATTATCAAAATTGATAGCTCCATTGTGTGGGTTTACATCCCCTGCCATGCATACGTTGTAATATTGGTTCCAGTTTATGCAGGCATTCTTGCTGCTGAAGTCAGGGTTGTATAAACTTGGGGTGTAGGAGTCCATGCTCAAGGTGCACTCCACCTTGTACTCCTTCCTGGTTGGGATGTTGGAGCATTTCTGCATGCCGTTCTCACGATGGGATGAGCAGATGAATGGATTCTCCTCTGCTTCATCTGTGCGGTAGTACGGATGCAGGAAGGTCAGGTTATATGTCCTGGAGGGAAAGAAAGAAAGATGGATGAGAACAGGGTGCCCAGAGAGATGGCAGTGCCCCATCCCTGCACACAGCCACGGTCAGGCTGGATGGGGCTCTGAGCACTGATGGAGCTGTGGCTGTCCCTGCTCAGTGCAGGGAGTGGGACCAGACAGCAGTCAGAGGTCCTTTCCAACTCAAACCATTCTGTGAAATGCTGCTGTCCACAGAACATCAACAACTCTTCCTGCAGCTCCATATGACAGCTGCCATCACACAGCCACCCTCCATTACCATTTCTCTCTGTGCAGTGTCCCCACCACGGCTGTGCCCCTGGAGTCAGGAGCACCAGTGCCCGTCATGCAGTGCAAACCCAGCACCTGCTCCTCAGTATATAGAGCAACCAAAGAGAAGCAAGACTAATGAATACTTCCAAAAACGTCACTTATGCTGCCTCTTTCCATGGCCAAAATAAGACTATGAGTCTGGACCATACCTCATCAGTAGGAGGACAAGGTCCCAGCAACTGCACCACTCTGAAGTGCCTTCCTTCTGCCTGCAAATCCCAAAGCCCAGCAACTCAACGCCAATTCTCCCATTTCCACCTCATCAGACAGGGGACAGCAAGTCACAGCTGAGACGTCAGCCCAGACCATTGCCTGTAAGGCTGTTTGCTTACAGCATCCTGTAAGGCTCCAGTGATCTTTCAGTTAAATATCAGCCTTAGTTTTCTGAGTGAGCAAATGAAGCAAGACGGCTGACAGCTGAAATGAAGTGGTAAAAAGAGAGAAAAAAAGCAGCCCAGGTGCTTCCTAAAAGCCAGAGCTGGTAACTTTTTGTTCCCAGCTAAGGATTTTAAGAGAGCTCTTCTGATGCTCAGATCATTCTTCAGATGACCCGAAGGCAAAGCAGCTTTCCAAGAAATTTCCCCTCAGCACGTCTCCAGGATGAGTGAGCTGAACTTTAATAAGGAGAGAGGCAGCTACGGGCATCTCAAATTCCTTCTGTTCTTGCAGAAGGAAAGCCCACGTTAATGGGAACTGGTTGCTGATTTAATTGGCCTGGATAAAGTTATAAAGCTCTATTATAGAGAAGATAAGCAAGTGCTCTAATTGCAGCATGGCAGGGATGTGCCTTTTCCAAGCGGGGCTCTGAATCCAGGCTGCTCCATGGCAATGGACGAACATTTGTGGGGCACATCAGCACTCAGTGCTGAAGCACTGCTCAAAGCAAGAAGGTGAGAAGACCTCCAGCAGCAGACCTGCTGTTCAGAGCGGTGGGGATCTAAGGTGCTCTACAATCAAGAAGGAGATAAGGGAGAAGGCAACACAAATTACATGACCAAGCGAGATGCGGGTAGCAGAGAAGCAGGTAATTCTTTAACACAGGACAGCTGTATTTTTTTTTTCCCAATCTGTTCTGAATGTTCCCAACTATTGAATAAATGTGGCTCTAATGATTGCCGAGCAAGTGATACTCTGTATGATGGTCTGAAATTGCTCCCCATAACCCCTAAGTAAAGCAGGAGCCACTCAGCAACTGCGCTTTAGGAGAGAGCAATTGCTGCAGGGCAGAGCCAAGGGGAAATAAACCCTGAACAACTTTCCTGAACAACCTTTTCCTCCATCAATGAACTACCTGAGATGGCTGCTGAGATTCATCCAACTGCAAGAGGAGCACGCCAGAGGAATTGGGCATTGTTGGCTGCGAATAACAACTCATTCAGCAGCTATTCACCCCCCATCACACAACACTCCCATTTCCCCCCAAACACAACTGTAAAATCTGCCTCCCTGTATCTTAGATTCAAGAGACAAGGAAGAAACACGTGAAAAATGTTTTTCCTTCAGCCCTCTTCTTCCCCGCCCACGGAATGGTTTCACTTGGAGGACATTTCCATATAAAACAAGCAGAAGATAAAGGTGAGCACTGCACCAGCACCTTGTTTGCTGGAAGATCAGACACTCCAAGCAGAGGAGTTTGTCACACAGAAGGGGTTATGGTGGAGAGGCAAAGGATTAAAAAGCACCGAGACACAGGGATGTGTCTGGAGTTGCTACAGCCTGTGGGCAAAGACAGCAGAGGAACTTAAGTGAAGAAATAGAGGGAGCAGGAGAAGAGACAAGCAGCAAGTTCTCCTGACTCACCTGCAGCAGGGAGCTCTGTTTTGCCCTTAGTGGGTACAGAGGGGCTGCATTCAGATGCAGAAACCAGGACCTTGCAAAGCTGCTCTCTGAGTCCCTGAATGGCAGGAGAGACGCTGAGATGTCTCACATGGTGCCTTCCCATCTAAGCACTAGACCTCCAGTTTAGGTTCTGCAGCTCTCCACAATTCTCATCAAATCCTGATGAGATGCATCACGTAAACCCAAAGCTTTGGCTCTGGTTGGGCAGCTCCTAGTGCCCAAACCTGCTACTTGCACCAGGGAGAGCCACAGGCAAGTCTCACAGCCCATAAGCTGCACACCTGTAGCTATGCATTGAACTCCTATTCCTGCAGCAAGGCTGAATGATCCTGGTAACATCTCTTGCTCTTTCTTGTTTCGCTTAAAGCAATGCCTTTTGATCTGGATGTGCCGCTCCAGATGACACTCCTCCAGACTAGAACTGATCACAAAGGAAAATTTCCTCCAGAGCCAGGAGGAGCTGTGAAACTCTACAAAAACTTATTTCCTTCCCCACCCTGGAAGCAACACCAGCAGCAGGAGTTCCCCGATCGCAAAAGGCAGCTGGCAGCGGGTGGGACAGGAAGGCTCAGCATGCTGCAGCTCGCAGGCCAGCATAATTAGGATTCTACCCAGAGCAAAGCTGGACTTGCAGAGGGAGAGGGACCATCTGGAGGGATGATTGGGTAATTAGCAGCTATGGCTGCACAAGCTCCTTTCCCGGGAGCAGTTTCATGTTCAAATGCAGACACACACACGCCTGTGCCAAGAACACTGCCCATGGAAGAAGTGCTCAGACAGAAGGGCTGATGCGTCAGTGTGATGCTCTGCTCCGATCTCGCAGCCGAGCCCCTGGGAGCTGCCTCTCCCACTGTGGCACAATGACACACAGCATTCAGCCACACGAGCTGCCTTTCGTACCGTGGCACAGTGACACATGGCATTCAGTGCCGCGTGCAGCTGACTGCCCTCCCAGCTGCAGGAGGGACAAACATACATTGATCCGGATGAATCAGCTTCATTTCAGCCTCCAGAGGTGATCTCCAACCTCCCAGTGTGCCCAACCCAGCTGGGCAAGGACACAGCTAGCAATATGTCAGCTGGTTCTGTGGGAGCCCATGCACCCGGTTTTGTTGCAGGGAGAACACAGCCAGGCTGGGGAGCCATAGGACCGAACCCCATCTCATTCCGTGCCTCTCCATTCACTACACACTGCAACTTGAAAGGCCCTCAATGAGCCAGTAGATCTCAGAGGCTGCATGTTGCCTCTGAGTCATGGTGTAGGAAGCCCTGGGCTGAAGGAGAAAAGGCTGCTTGCAGACACGCTGCCTTGGGCTGTGATCTAATAAGCTGCAGAGAGATCTGGGCACAGACGCTGGGGAGAAACGCAAAGAACGACACTTTGGTGACTGTGGGAGGAAAATAAAAGCAGGAAAATAAAGCACAGCTTGATTGCAAAGGGTGGATGAAGTTTGGGGTGGTTCTGCTGCTTATTGGTTTTATCTTCCCTTCTCTTTTCCTTCCTCAATTTTGCAACATCTCCCCCCTCAAAAAAACAAACAAACAAACAAACAAACAAACAAAAAACTAAAATCCTGCCATTGACTGGCCAAAATCAAGTGCTCCAGGGCCAGTTCCTGCCCAGCCCTTTTCAAGCCTTTCTCCCTTCTTTGTCTACTGGATGCAGGACACCACGAGCATCCATCCAACTGGGAGGTACCCATAGTGGCACAGAGTGCAGTGGGAAGGGACACCCCAACCAGCAGCCAACACTACAAAATCAAGTCCTTCTTCTAGTTTTCCTGTTTGAAGGTTCTGCTGGCAAAACCAAAAAGGGGAAAGACAGGAAGAGAGCAGGAGTGAGAAGTGTTGCAGAATGAGAGAATCCCCAACATCCACAGCTACCCTGCCAAGACCACCTACCTCCATGTGCATGAAAGGTCAATTGGGCTGCTGATTCTTGCCAACAGGCACAGTTCAAAGAACTTATTAATGGTAATGAATCCACTAATCGCGAGACTCTCGTGCTCTGGGGAAAAGTCATGAGAAACTAAGCTCCAGAATGGATCTTGTTATCACATTAGAAAGGATTAACGCCCTTTTCTCGGCCAGCTGCCCAGCGTGCATCTTTCTCTGGGCTTACAGCAGCTTTGCTGTATTTCCCTGGGCATGTTTATGTGCAGGAAGGATAGCACGGAGGCAAGAAAGTCCTTCTTCTCCCACATCAAGGGAGGCTGAAGTGCTTTCTGCCCCATCTGCCTTAGTCTCAGTCTTGCTATGGCATCATCCCTAAGTGCTGGAGCATGGTCTGAGCACAATCCTGCTTCAGCTTCCTGAGGAATGGAGGAGGAAAGAGAAAAGGCAGAAAGCACTAAACAGGCTCACCTCCCTTCGAGGGGAGGCTCGTTTTGGAAGAAACCCCGTTGCCAACCCATCTCTGCACCATGGAGAGATGCCAGGAGGAGCAATTAAGCAACCCTCAGAAGTACCTTTCAAACTGCCAGCTGCCTGCCTGGGCTGTGTGCGCCTTTGCACAGGTCTACAAAAGCCAAGGAGCCAAAGGCAGTACAATACCAAACGGATACAGAGTTAATTAAGACCGAAGCGCTCACATTAGAATTGTCCTGCAGCATTAGATAAACACAAAACACTTCACAGCTCTCTCCCCCTTCCAACCTGCTGAGCTCTCTGAAAGGCTCCGCAAGGAAGAAAATGCTCCTCTGCATAACAACATAATACGTAAGTGAGGAGCAGCAACAACACACTGGGAGTGACCCAGATCCTTTATTAAGCATGGCAGCATCTCCTGCTGGTAGGAGGGAGCCAAAAGGGCTGCATGGGGACAGCAGATCTGAGATCTTACAGATAAACTGCTGGTCATACTTGCCTTTCTGCTCCATGCTGAGCTCTCAGCTCTCAGCCCAGGCCAACCCAAAAGCAGTGTGAGATTTCCCTTTCAGTTCCTACGGCTGGGAATCTCCTACACTCAGAACCCATCCTGGTACTGCCATTCCTGCTGCCGTGTGATGCTAAGTGAAACAGCCCAGACACCAAACTCTCCAGAAGCTGAAGGGGCTCTGAACCACCAGAGCCCCCAAGGCACCACAGCTGATGTCCAGCTCTGGCCAGGGAGTCACAGCCTCACACACCCATTGAAAATACCACGAGGAGCCCTGCCCGTAACTCAGATCCTCCCCTTCACAGCACTGCAAGGAAACCTGAACCACTAGCATCACCTGCTCAGTACAGGGCACCATCCACACTCCTTTGCCCACAGCTTGCTGGAGTGCTGGTGAACATTATTTCAGGCTGAGAACAACAACACTGGGATTTAGTAGGACTTGGCAGATGAGTAGATGACCAGCATCTCATTCCTACTTCCCTGCAGAGCTCCACTCTGTTTACTTCTATCCAAAACCAGAGCTTAACTTTAATCCTACAGCCCCTGCCTAAAGGTTTGGATGTTGTTTTGTTCTCATTGGCAGCTTTCCCTGGGAGGGAATGGATGGTCGAGGCTCTCAACAGTGATGCCAAGCACAGCAGCTCAGCACAGGGATGGAGCAAGTGACAGATCCTCTCCAGCCCAACCCTGGGCTTGCATCTCCATGCTGCTTTGCAGGCAATCAGCATATTACTGCTGGTCAGTGGGAATTGCTTGTTTGAGGCCAGAGCTGTGAGTTTTGGGCCACGTGCACATCTTTCCTTGTTACACTACTCCTGATTCATTCCATGCCTTTGCACCTACACAACTTACTGCTGGGGTGATGAAGGCCACTGTAAGGCTGGATCAGCGCACACTATCTCTATGCCTGGAACTGTGGATTTCCTGCCAGTTTCCTATGGTCTTAAGTTCCCCCAGCAAAACAGACTCAGATGGCAGCTTTAGGCTAAGTGAGAGCATCAGAGCAAATTTGGGGTTTCTCTGAAGCTCCTGATGGGCTGTGAAGGAGGAAGGAGAACATCTCACAGCACACCTGCCTCATCAAACAGCTCCCAGGGCTGATCACAAGGAACCTGACTGCTGCAGAGTGGTCAAGACCCTGATAAACAGACCCTGTGATGCCTTTGATGCTGCTAATAGCCTTTACATAACAGCCTGTTTCTTGGCTGCTTAATATCTCTATTTAGCAAACAATCATCTTGTGATTAATTTTAAAAGCTCCACTTTGCAGAAAATCACACAGTATTTTAGACACCTGGTGCAGGGTCTTTGGTGGTCCCTCCCCATCCAGCTACAGCTCTGTGCCACCACGCTGCTCAGTGTGAGGCAGGAACAGGACCCAGGGTAAATCCAAGGGATGATACCTGCTCATTTCCAGGACAATACAATTGCAAGCAGGTGATGGCAGACATAATTAGAGGCAGAATCTCCTCTTGAAGAGCTGGAGCTGCCCCATTTAATTGCCTTCAGGCATTTCCTCACCTCCGAGCCACAGGTGACTTCAGCAGCCTCTAAGAGGAGACTTTCTGCAAGGATTTGTTTTGCATGCCTCCTTTTCTGCAGGAGCTCACAGGAACACTATTAACTCCCATGCAGTCCTGCTTTTGCTGGTGATGATAAGGCAAGCAAGGGCACAGCTGCCCTATGACAGGGGACAAGCCAGCAGCCATGGGTCACGCAATGCCAGCTCCAAGTGTAACAAGTGATGGACCAGGGCCAGACCCATCCAGGCAGCCCAGACAGAGGGACTGGGAGGGAGCTGGAGGCAGATGCACCTACAGCCCTGCTGGGAGCAGGGCCAAAAGCCCAACGCTGAGCTTAAATGAAGGGCCACAGGCAGGGTGGGAGACCCAGGTAAAGGTCATCTGGGCAACTGAGGTCTATTAGCACCTGCAACACCTGGCAGGGATGCTGCTCCATGCAACTGCTGAGCTTGGAAGAACCTAAACTAAAGTTTGCATCAGCAGGTGATTGGATGTGCTGCACGTTCCTTATCCCTTTTTCAGGCTGAGAGTGGTACAAATGTCTTTAATGCCTTCAGCATCATGGTACTTATCTTACTGGTCCTACAGAGACATACAGGGTGTTTCAGCAGCATCTCTATGCCACTCCATGTTCTAGCATGCACACTCCTAATAAACCTCGTGCTAGAGGCTGTGCTGTGTTGGGAGACATTCCAGACCCACACAGCAGCTTTCACAGTGCTTTCATGCTTTTGTTTGGTCTAAATCCTCAAATTCCCACTGTCAGGGTTCTCAGCTTCCTTGGACACAAAGGTGCTAACACCTTTGTCCTCCAGGAAAAAAAACGAGAAAGCCACTGCAAACCCTCAGAAAGCTGCCAACAAGAAGCAGCTAGCTGGACTTGGAGTCCTGCAGCCAGCAACCCACAGTATCCAAGTGCCAGGAGGGAAATGGGACTCAGAGGGTGTGCTGGGGGGACCACTTCTGAGCACCCTCCGAGTGCCACCATCAGCACTATGGGTTCCTCCATTAGGGGAAAGGGAGAAAGGAAGAACAGGAGGAGATTTCAGCTATACTTACGTTGCCAAATTCCTGTCCAGGAAACATCTGTTTCTTAGCAGCCCTGCCCAGAGCTGCACACCCACGATCCCAAAGATGAAGAAGACAAAGAAGCACAAGAGGAGGACATTGCCTAACATAGGCAGAGTATCTAACAGCAGGGTGACGAGTATTCGCATACCTGGGGGGAGAAGGAGAAAACAGGTTAGAAGAACTGGGTGATGGGCAAGCAGGATGCTCCATGCCTTGCAGCCAGGGCAGAGGAACTGGGAGGTGCCCATCAGATTTTCCATTCAGTTGTGCAAATCCCTGCAAGGCTTGCTGCGAACGTGCATGCACATTAGGGGCTCCCCAGCACCTGTGCCACAGGGACAAGTTGATTTCTGTGCAAGAACTCTCAGCTTAAATAAAATGATGGAGCAATGAGTGAAGCTCGCAGGACTGCAGCAAACCTTTGTGTCCCCATCAGCTCCCAGCATCGCTCTCTGAATGGACTGAGCAGGGATTGGGTGCTGCCCCAGGGCACCTTCAAACCCAAGAGAATGCCAGAATAAAAAGAGAATGAGGACTTGCTGCTCGGCAGAGGTTAAATGAGCCTCGGAGACAGCGACCGGCTCTCGTTTCAACAGCGGATAATTGATGAGAGGAGGAATAATGAAAAGAGCAACAGACAAAAGCAAGTGCTAAGTCATAGGAAGGAATAAAAGAAGAAGCCGAACATCAGGAGCCCAGCACTCGACAGAGAGAAGGGCTCAGGTTTACAGCACGATGACAAACCTTGCATCTACGTGGTCAGGTAGTGACACTGCCACCTTTGGAAGCATTTTATCCCACTAAAAAGTGTTCAGCAAACTCCTTTCACCACCTGTGTGGGGTCTGCTCCTCAGCCATCAGCCACCCCATGAGGGGATGGGACTTGGAGCAATCTGATCTAGAGGGAGGTTTTCCTGCCTATAGCACAGGTTGGAACTGGATGATCTTAAGGGTCCCTTCCAACCCAAACCATTCTATGAGCTGCATTCACACCAATATGAGCTGTTTTTCCCCCATTGATTTCCAGCTCACCACCAGTTTCCAATGCTCCTGCTGAGCCTGGTGGAAGGAGGAGCGATGTACCACGATGCCTCCAACTCTGCACCTATCTATCTTACAAAAAAATGGTTAAAATTCCTCTCTGTGTGCCAGACAACGTTTTTCCGCTCAGCTACTTCTGGTATTTTGGGTTGCTTGGTGGCACCGTTCTGGAGATGGAAGCCATCTGCTCTTTATCCGGGTGCTCGGGGCTCTCAGCACAGTGCAGCTCAGCCATGGGAAAAGTCCACGAGCACCGCCAGGGCTGAAACGAGGATTTCTTTTTGTTCCCATTCCACGTGAAACGGGCTTGGAACCACACAGCAGAAAAATAAAAATAAAGCAGCAAAACGGGCTTGAAGAAACAGCGGCCGCTACTAAAAAAAAAACAAAAAACAACCACCCAAACTATAGCCCCTGCCAAACGTATAAATTGCAGAAATTGTATTTTTCCAGTCGTTTCCAAGGAATAATTTCTAATAGAGATGATGTTTTTATTGGCTGGGGTTCTCCTTTCTTTTCTTAACAAATAAAAATAAAATAATCTCATGGGTGAATTTATTGTGCCTGGAAGCACAGCACTAGCAGCACTGGCTGGAGCCCAGGAAAGCGCCCAGGCACCACAGGGATACATTGCTGGGCAATTTCTCATGGGTCCCTGCAACTACATCCCAGCTTCAGCCATAATTCATATTTGCTCAGTGTTGTTCTGTGGCTGAAAACACTGCTCTGGATGATGGCATCCCACTGAGGACATGGGCACGGACTGAGACGTGGGGGTGTCCCAGGTGATCGCCTGTTGGAGATGGAGCATCCCTATGGATGAAAGAAGAGCAATAGAACATCGCTGGAAACCACAAAATCCAAGAGGGTTTTTAATATCCTTTCTCTGCAGGCCCTGGGTTACAGCATAGGTCTGAAACATGGACAGCAGTAAAGTGCAAAGCGGAGGGAGCTGGTGTCTCATAGACAGGTAAATCTGCGATCATCTGTCCTCCAGGCCTGGCATGCTGGACAACACCAAAAATGGGCTTAAATCTTTGGGTTTGATCTCATATGCTATTAACAAAACTTGATGGTTTCCTGTTGCTGGTCTTCTGACCAAAAGAAAACAACCTCACTATCAAGGGTAGCAGACAGCCTGAAAGCCACACTTCAAAGCTCCAACATCAGACTGACAAAGAGAACTGCATCTTTGTCTGAAGCACTGGAACTGAAACTGACCCAGGGGACTTGGCTGTGCTGTCTGTGGATGTGCCGACGTGACGGGCAATTAATCCCAGCAGGATGCTCAGGGTGGTTGGACTTGATGATCCTAGTGGTCTTTTCCAACTTTCACGATTCTATGATTAATTCTATGGTTCTATGACTGGTGGTGCGTGTTATTTGAACGTGCTCTTAAAAAGACCCCAAAATGTACGTTTTTGTGGTGAGAAGCACGCATGATTTCCATGCAATGCTGCTGCATTTTGTGTTGAGCAGAGCATAGTTAGAAAGTGAATAGAGAGCAATGAAATTAGTGCCTTGCAAGGGTCGCTCAGCAGACAGCTGTATGGCAGGAAATTATTTCATCTTGTTGGTTCATCTTTCAAATTGGATTTAGGAGACAAGCAGCTGAAGCCACTTGAAAATGGATTTAGGGACCACTTGAACTTCCTATTGTGGATGAACCCAATTTTGTACTACATGACAGCAAACCCTCCTTCATGGTGTTTTACCAACGAGGGAGAATACAGCATTTCAAATCCTGAACTCAAAGAGACCGAGAGACCTTAAATAACCTAGAGCAAAAAAGTGAGTCCATCCCAAGCAAGAAGATCTCTTCTAGAATAGATCTCTCCCCTTTCTTTATGGGAACTTTGCTATTTAGTGGGAGATGGGAGTTACTTGCTTCAGAGAGTTCACAAAAATGCTGGAAATCAGCCACAAAAATTCAGCATCCCAGGTATAAAATCTCCCTTGTCCTTTGCTAACACCGCTAATAATAATAAATGATATCTAACTTCGCATTAAAAAAAAAAAAAAAAAAACAAAATCAATGCACTTGCCCTCAGCAGCAAGAGAAGAGGATATCACGAGGCTTAAAGCTGAGCCCTCCAAAGCCATGCTGATGGTTTACTTACTTGGGACCCTGTTAATGGCTCGCAGCGGCCGCAGCACGCGCACGGTGCGGATTGCAGACAGGCTGACGTTGTGTCCGTCCAGAGAGTACTCCATCATGCTGACAGGGAAAGAGAGAAGAGGTGTCAGGGCATAGGATACACCATGGACATGAAGCTGTGGGATGGGGGAGCAGCTCCCGATGTGCTGTTGATATGGGATATAATGGATATTTCCACCTTTGAAGGGCTGCAGACACTCACACAAGCAGCACGGTGCACGGATATCTGGTGGGCACGCACCTGGGGAGCATCTGTTCAAGCAGGACTTGGCACAACAGGGAGCTGCAAATAAGGGACACAGAGCTGGGGCTGCCCATGGCTCACCCTTGCTGTTATTTCATTGTGCACAGCTCCACATCAATGAGATGTTCTGATGGTACACCTCCTGCCCTCATCCCGGTGCGTTTTCACACCAGCTTATCCATCCTCCTATGGCCAAAGTGTGAATAATGAAGCCAAAAAAACAGCTATGAAGTAGTTTGGTTCTCATTTTATTATTAAGAATAAGGAACATTTTATTTTTCATGCTCAGTCTCCATTTCACATAAATATTTCTCTCCCAGGCTGGGAAGGACATTAAGTTTAGTCAGTTTTCTTCTTTTATAGCAGTGAGTGGCAAATGTGGGTAGTGTTGTTTTTTAATGGGGTTATGGCTAGTTAGCATGGCTGTAATTACAATTTATGAGTTTGACTACAGGGAAGCACTTGTAAATATATCACAAATCTCTCACCATGTCTGTTCAAACAACATAACAGCATCAGAAGAACCCTGCAAGTAAGCTGCTGGATACCATAAAGAATGAGCATTTAAAAAAATAACAAAATCAACGGATACAGGAGAAAGGCAGAACTGCTGTCAGAAGAAGCTTCAGTGAAGAGATTTTCAGGTTAAGCATTCTCCAGCCTGGATGGACCAAAAATGGATCCGTACCATCAAGAAAAAGTTGCCGTACTTTCTGGATTTCAGGCAACAGAGAAGTAGGGTTTGATTTAGGGCCAGCCTACGTTGGGAGTATCACTACCTGGGTACTCCTGCACTTCTTATTTGGTGCCTTGCTCTGCTGAGTTTGCCTGGGAACATCCAGATGTTTGCTTCTCTATTGCCTTAGACTGCAGCTTCTTGGTGTCAGCTCGCAAAATCCCTGCTATGACACAGACGTGACTTTGCTCCTTGAACTCTGTGCCCAGCAGTGACTTGTGGCTAGCTATTTGATAACCTCCCAGGGTTTTTTTTTTTTTTCCTGGAGCAGTTAACATTTCTCTATAAGCCAAAACCACCTTAAACCTTGTATGTAGGAACTGAGCCCAGCGTGACGAACAGCTTGAAAACTCAGCACAGCACAACACCAGACCTTACACCCAAAATGTGCTCACTGAGCAGCCAGAGTGGGGCTGCAGGGACCACCCAGTGGAGATCCCACTCCCACCTGCACCGAGGGGCCCAGAGCCAGCACTGGGGGCCTCCTGAAAGCAGCCCTTGCAGGAATAGGGACAGCACTGTTTCAATGTATAGAGCTGAAGCCTGAGCCTGCTGGCTGGCTTGGTCCCAACACAGCACATACACAATTTATCAGGTGACTGAACGTGTGGGTTTTGCTGTAACTGAGACAGTTTTTGAACTCCTAATAGCATGTGAAAGGAATACGGTCTGTTCCATGCACCCACGTGCTTGTTTAAGGGCCAGCTCCTGGGGCTTCACTTGGAGTTTCAATAGTGCTGATGAAAGATGAATAATCCAGGTATGGCCTAGGAAACAGCCTTTCTGATTCCACCATTCTGGATTTCCATGGCACTCCACTTAGGATTTCAAAGCAAGTTGCCCACTGTAGCCATCTTGATCCACCTGATTGATGGTGATGGGTTCAAGGTTGGAGCTGTTGCAGTGAAATCAACTCAAGCCTTCATGGAAAAGTCCAAGGATTCTTCGCCAAGGAGAAACTTGGGGTCCTGTTTGCACATTGCACTTTTCATCCAAAGATATCTTGGAAAACTCTAATGGAAACTTGCTGGAGTTGGACGTTGGGGATATGCATAGACTAGAGGTGATTCCCCACAGCCTCTGGGTACTGGGAAAGAAGAGGCACAGCCTTTGTCTGCTGCCGTGAGCAGCTCCCACTCCTCCAGCTGTCAAGATAAAAACGTCCAAAGCATACCACATGAGCCTGCAGCACCTCCAGGGAAGGATGCACAAGAAACATCTCTGCTTTCAGCCTTTGTAGACAACATTTTTGATGCTTGGGAAATGCTTTCAACTTGGCTGCTGGACAGACACAGAGGTTGTGAGCTCCATTTGCTCTGAAATTTTCCAGGGTACATTTCTCAGGCGAGCAGAACATGAAAGGGCTTTCAGTGCTGGAACAAACTTCAGACACAATCTGTTGCTAGAGGCAGAAGATATGTTTATTTTGTAGTTTCCCTGCTCACCCTCCTTTCTCTTTGGTACACACGCTTGTCAGCCAAATCAGCTTATTTAAGGACAGTGAATAGGACAAACAATGCAGGCAGCTCTGTGCAGCACTTCTTATCAGAACTGCAATACAGCCATCCACCCATTGGAAAAAGCACCTGTTATTCCAGCTATGTGCTCCTTGCTGGATGGCCCAAATATACTCAAATACATTGCCATGATCTGTTTGATGGCTCTGCCTGCCCACCAGGAATGCTCAGCACAGGGCCCTGTTGGAGCACTGGTTATGAACATTACGTTTCTGACCCCACGTTTCCCCCACAGTCACAGCCCCACACTTCTGCTAAATGTTTAAATGCTGCTGCAGCAGCTTGGGAAAGAAAAAAATAATAATAATTATCAATGACTGCTGTTGTTCTTGCAGTTCTTCCCTAGGCTGAAACCTCACACTGGTTCAAAGCAGCTCTGCTCAGGAGGGCTCCTGTTTGATTCAAGCCTGTAGGGCCATTCCAAGCTGTACACCAGACAAATAATGTGGATGAAAATGCAACTCTCTAAGTGCAGTTAGGATTGTACATTGCTAATGTAAGGGTAAAAATGGCTCAACATATTACAGGAATGCTCTAATTAACCCAGGCTAGTCATTATAAAACCAGGAATTCAGAAATAAGGCAGAGCTCTGTCATTAAAGCAGTCTATCCATTCGTAGGGTACACTGAGCAGGTAAGAGAGCCTGGAGTTTCTAAAATCCATCTATTTATAGAATAAAGTTTTAGACTTGCCAAGTTTTCAGTTCACACAGTTACAGTTTTGCAGGAGCTGATGTCAAAAGCAGACAGATCTTCCTTGGGTGATTCCGCAAATAAATTGTATCTATTTATTAACACATCCTACACAAATAAGCAGCTGTGAGAGATGGTACATAAACATAAACCAACAGAAGTTTAGTGGAGACATGTGCACGCACTCGTAATTTGGGAGGATCAGCAACAGCAGCTGCTAGTCAACTTCTGGAGAGCCTCTTGCACTGGGATTTCAACCTTCTGAAACAGATCTCAGGCTGGATTCCCCTTGTTTGGCTAATTTCTGCCTCTGTCTCACTCTAATGGTACCACATGGCAGGAGTAGGACCGAGCTGCCGTGTGCTTTCTCCATCCCTTCTCAAGATGGAAACCTTACCGCGAGCACCAGGTTAGATCAGCACATGCCTGGTTTGACATTGGCCAAAGGATCCCTACTGGCAACCCAAAGGCTTTTGCCCTGACAGCCACACTGCACTCCATAACCTGGTGTGGTTGCCAGAGGTTAAACCAAATGAGACCGATGGGACTTGGTTTTGGCTGGAGCTGGGAATCATACAGAAGATGTTATGAAAACCAGCCAGGACAACCTACAGATTGGGTTCCCTGGGGTTTTCTGGCTTTCACGTCAAAGGTAATTTTATGAGGTTTTGTTACTGACCCTGCCATCACAATGAAGAAGTCCAGGCGATTCCACGTGTCTCCAAGGTAACACTTCTGCCCGAAGATCCCCAGAGCCACCATCTTGATGACCATCTCCACCGCAAAGAAAGCGAAAATGAAGTCGTCAAATGCCTGGAGACCAGTAAAAGATTATTACAGTCAGTTCTACTGTGCTCTCTTACCACGGAAAGGGAAAGCAGAGGCACTCTGTTTATCCTGGCAGAGGCTGCAGGGCTGGGCAGTGGTACCAAAGTGCCACCTACTGAGCTCAAAAATGTGACCTACAGCCCTTGGTGGGTGATGGCAAACCTTGGTTGGCCTGTTGCCCATAAAGTGTGAGCATTAGTCTCTGGCATTTCCACTTGAAGGCCTAGGTGGATTATTGGTAAACATGACAGTGTCCACGTGGAAACCAAGTTCCCATTGTACACCAATGTCCATTCACATGGCTGTGTGAGCTTCGCCTTCTCTGGATATTACCTCATCCCTTAGATAAACTACAGTTTTGCTTCATTATTTCACTTCATTTAATAATTAGCATCCAAACGCCTCTACAAAGGAGTTAAGATTTTTCTACCTCGTGTTTTGGTTTCTGTTCACTCCTGCACGGGATAGCAATGGCTTTAGTTGCAGCCCTTTTCTGCCTGCAAACCCTCTGGGATAACACTTTGTTTTTCACAAATACACTCAATACGTTGTAATCATTCAGCCAGTACCAGGCTTTGAAAGGGGAAGGAGCTGCTGGGAAGGATCCCATTTGCCTCCTCATAATGCTGGAACACTCAGAAGGAATTGAAGCAGCAGATTCACGAAGGATTCAAATGCATTGAGTGTGTTGCACTACCATGTGTCAGGGTGACAGTGAATGCCCAAGTGTGTCTGATTGCAGAAACCACCTCTGTGTTGGGCTTCCTGGGTATCCTGGGGACATGATGGGTCCCAGCTCAGGGCCAGCCTTACCTCCAGGATGGTGCAGCGCTCCGACTGGCACTCCACGTCCTCGCAGGGCTGGAACATGCCCAGGGTGACACAGTTCAGAAGGATGACCAGCATGCTGATGTGCTCAAACCAGGTGAGAGGAGGCGTTAAGGAGAGCACACATTGCCAGTAGGAAGCTGGGGAACCGCACAACTTACATGTTACAAACCCTACACTCATCACACAAACTGAAAACACCCGTCAGCATCCCAGATTTGGTGAAGTTTGAAGTCCACCCCAAATCCTCCACACCACCATCCTGCTGTATTTTGTGCATGCCAAGGGCAGCCCTCTGTCCTCCTTCCATAGCAGCACTCATCTCCAGAACTCAAGGGGTTTTACCACTGAACCACCCCAAATGTTTGATAGCATTAACTCTGTCATTGCCAGATGAAGAAAGACCAAACAAGATGAGTGAATTCAGGCATCATCACCACCAGAAAACAGCTTACAACCCATTCCTTGCTCCAATCTTTGGAGTTGCTTCCCTTGTTTCTATCTCAAGCCAAAGAAATGGGTTCATTACACAGTTATCCCTCCCCTGCATGGTTTCTAAGCTTCATGGAGTCCAAATTAAGCTCTGCACCATGACAGATGAAAACAAAGCAAAGCCATCATGACTAGCACACGTTTTGGCAGGGCCAGCCATGCTGGCATGCTGCAACGTGGGACGTAGGGCACAGGGTGCTCAGCACAGCTTTAGGGAAGGAAAGGGTTCAAGGCTGGATACCTCCACAGCCACCAAGAAAGACTGCATTGTCTTGCAGGATCCACCAGTGTTCAACATTAACAGTTACAGCGCAGTAAGTGGTGATTTGCATCACTGCAAAACAGGCCCAGAGCTTATGGTTACTGCTGTTGGTATAACTATTAAAAATAATAATAAAAAAAAAGGTTCTGGGGAACTAAACAGGAGTTACACAAATTAAAGATGAATGAGAGAACTGTTCTTGGGAAAATAATTGGAAACACCTGTGTATGAATAAACCTTTATGCTTTCAAACACACCAGTGAGGGATCATGGAGAGCGAAGAACATTGGCATTGTCTTATTTCTGATAACGAAAAACTGCCTTCTTTGAACTTGTCTAAAATGGACATACGTGGAATAAATCAAACAACTGAAACAAATAAAACGGGGCTCCCTTGATGGGAGTTGGAGCAGGTGAGCTTCTGGCCACAGCCCCAGAGCACTCGTGTGCTGCAGCAGCGCCAGCATTGGTCTGTTTTAATTCCCCTCTCCCTTTGACTTTGTTCTGATTTCTGACATTTTTAGGGGCTGTCTGGCTCCCCTTTCCTCTCAGCTAATTAGGAGCAGAGCAGTAATCCTGCTCCACAGAGAGAACAGCTCATGTCAGACCCAAACAAATCCTCACCCATGGCCACGTCCTACTTACAATATTTGCATTGCTTGATGGGATTCGTGTGGATCTCCCTGTAAACACGGCTCCTGGACTGTTCCCAGGGTGCCTGCAGCCGCATTCATTCCACTTACACATGTGGATTATTTTTTTCTTTAAAGAAAGGAATAAAAGCATGTGGATTTTGAACCATAAACGAGTAAAACCTGTGTAGCATGCTGATGAATGAGGTCTGCTTCCCCTGAAGGAGGAGAACATAAGGATCTGTTTACTCCAGCCTTGCTCCTTCACTGCAGCAGCCACAGGAAAGCACTGAGCTCACATCACCTGCACTTTTCCCCACAGCAAGAATGAATGAGGCTTCAGGATCACTGTCCAACATGGGCTGCTTGCTCTGTTGCTGCTCTCTGCCATCCCAACCTCTGTTTTCAGTAAAGCCAAACAAAAATTAGGTTTTGTTTTCCATTAGAAAACACTGATTTGTCAAAAGTGAATCAACAGCACGGACCAGTTTTGACAGCCACACTCCATCAGAATGGAGTTTTTCAGATAAAACAAAGAAAAGCCTGTCCCCAGGAAGGCTTAATTACTGCTGAATGGAAACTTCAGGAGTGCAGGAAGTCTGTTTGCTGCTCAGATCTTTCTCACCCTGGTGCCAAATCACTTTGTGAGCCAGGGTCAGGCTCCACCAAATGGCAAAGCTGCAGCAGCAAGAAAGAAGACAGAAGAACTTTGGCTACTTTGGAAGAAAAGGCTGAGGAGGAGCTGTGGGGAGTAGCTCTGCTTTGGTGGGAGAATGGAGCGGAGGAGGAAGCATTAAGTCCCTGCCCTATTTATTTTTGAATCAGATTAATGATGGCGATTTGCTCCCTAATTTGAAAGCAGGATTACCCCAGAGCTCTGCCCTAATGGGACTAATCCTCCCTCCCTCCAGTGTTCAGATATTCAAGGCTCAGCTCACTCCCTGCTTCATTGCTGCTAACACCAGCGGAGCCCCCAGCGCTGGGACTCAGCCCTTGGCCAGCCAGAGCCCCCTGGAGCCCCCCCAGCCAGTTTTCTGACTGCAGAACTGGTACCCCCAGGCTACCATGGATATCACTGCTCCAGCATCATTCCCTTCAGAAGCAACCAACTTCACGACTCTCAGACTTGAAAAGATGCAAAGGGGAGATCCAAATGAACCGCTGGAGGCGATCATAGCAAAAGTGTTTCATCCTTTGCTGCACATTCCAGGAGAACAGCATCCAAAGCAAATCTGGGCCAAGCTCACATAGTTGCACATGCTCTTTTGCTAAAATCTAACTCTGTGTTTAGAAGAGGCAGCACAGAATTTAGGCCCTGCCCCACTGTCCTGTCGGTACCATCTGCTGCTAGTTCAAGGGCTGGGGCTGATGCTCTCCAGCAGCTTTCATGGGATTTTACCAAAATCACCACCAGCAGTGGCTTGAGTTTGGAGAATGCTGGTTGCCCAGAGATGCCCCAGCACGGCCACATCTTAACACACGGCTGACCTCAGCCCCATAGCAAAGAAATAGAAATGAATGACTCCGCTTCACTGAAAAACCCAAACACAAACCCAGCCTCTCCCAGCTCCTTCCCCCATAAACTTCTGATTCTTGGCACAAAGAGAGGTGCAGTGCAGAATGAGCGGCAGTGATGCAACCTGGATCTCTGCTGTATGCATTTCATCCAGCAAAATGATGTGGAGAGTTCCTGTTTCTGGAAGACTTCACTGTACTTACACATTTGCACAGTGTTATAAGGGGATTTCTTGGCCTGCAGGCCAGAGTCTTAATATTTCCTTTAAAAATCTGGAAGCCTTCTTCAATATAAAAATGAAAGGCTTAAAAAAGAAAATGCTTGTCTAACCAGAAAGCAATGTTTTCAATACTCACATTAAAGCTGTCCAGGTTCACTGCCATGCCTGCAGCTCTGGGCTGCATTTCAGTGCCTTTCTCCTCTCCAAAAAAAAAAAAAAAAAAAAAAAAGCACAGAAAACTCCAGGTGTAGGCATGGGAAGGGCTCAGCATCCCCTAACACACTGCTCTTCTCCTCCCTCACCTCACCATTAAGATAATCTCTACTATCCATCCCTTGAATTCTAGCAATATTTCTGCAATAAACACAGTAAAACCACAGTGTCACAGCACAGCAGTGTCATAGAGTTCCTTGCTACATCCCAAGCCTCGTGATGAAGGACGTGCTGCTTAACCCCAGGGGCAAGGGAAGCTGCCCTGGCCCCAAACCACAATGGAGCAGTGAGATCCCAGTACCCAGCACCAGCAAAGCAGTGAGACAAGCTCATGGTTCGTAGTGTTTTCCCATAATCTTATTATTTTTAAGCCAGTCAGGGGATTTTGGAGACTTAACCCATTATTTTAAAGGCCTGGATCTGGTGGCACTGCGATTATTGCTGTTACCATATCTGCACGTACTGCACACAATGCTGAGGAATAACACACAGTAATAAAAGCCAAGTTATAGTTACAAGGAGAACATACGTTTACAGAAGCAGCAGCCAACTGAAGTTTCAGCTTTTGCAGTCTAAGACGTGACTAATGCACTAAATATACACACACACACACGTTATATATACACATACATCTGAGGGATGAGGATTTTCAGAGCAGTCTTGGAGATCTGAGCATGCAATGCACCTGGGGATGTAATTCCTGCTTTGCAGCTCCACAGTCTTATTTCCCATTCAAAAACAAGGCCTGCTGGAAACCAAGGTACTGTTCACAAATTGCCCAGCCCAGCATCCATACCCAACAAAGGACTTTGGGGAGGTTGGGATGCTCGGTCCCCATCATGTGGATGTACATTGGGATGGGCACATGCAAAGCAGCACCATAGGAGACAGCAGCTTGGCTCTGGAGCAGTGAAATGCTTACAGGAATCAAAGAACTGTAGAATGGCTGGGTTGGAAGAGACCTTAACGATTACAGAACCATAGGATGAGAGAATAAGTCGGGTTGAAGAACCATAGAATGGGTTGGAAGGGTCCTGTAATGCTATAATGGAATGATAATAGCAGGATGGCAGTCTTTAGCTACAGCAAATGAGAAAAAGCCCAAATGCAGCAGCCACAGATACAGAAATGAAGGAAAAAGAGCTGTTTACCTTTGGAGGGCCTCAGGTAGGCAGGGATCTCCAGCAAGAGATGCTCCCACCTCTACTGTCAACCCTTAAATGAGGTTTGGGACAGGTTGGATCCTGGCTGTACTCTTGCAGTCATTCAGGTGCATTGCACACACCTGAGCTCCCCTGGGTTGGCCCTGCCTTCCCACCAGGTGCTCAATCACTGCTTGGGCCCTGACTCAGCATTTCCACTACAAGTCCTTACAGCTCCCTGAGCCCCATCCCTGAAACAGGTCCCAGACCAGCCAACCTGGGAAATGGCAGCAAGCTGTAGGAACAACACTTCCCATCACCTCATGCAACCAGAGACAAAAATAGCTTTAAAAGTCTGCAATATCCACCTCGTCCTTTATGCTAAGTAATGGAAAACAGTCCAAACTCAAATGGGATTCAGTAAATAGGAGCAGGAACAAAAAATGAAAGGGAAGAAGAAAGAAAGGAACTGCAAGAAAAGTGACTCAGAACAAAAATCCCAGGAGGCAGTGCTGGCTTGGGCTGGCATAATTTTTAGGAACATTCTTATTTTTAAAAAGTTGATTGATTAAAGCTACTTTTAGTGTTCATACTGCACCGGATCATTGGAGTTCATTTACTTATGACTTGTAAAACAAAATGAGGCAGCTGCACTTCAGAAAT